AGAGTATATTAGAGTATATTAGAGTATATTAGAGTATATTAGAGTATATTAGAGTATATTAGAGTATATTAGAGTATATTAGAGTATATTAGAGTATATTAGAGTATATTAGAGTATATTAGAGTATATTAGAGTATATTAGAGTATATTAGAGGATATTAGAGTATATTAGAGTATATTAGAGTATATTAGAGTATATTAGAGTATATTAGAGTATATTAGAGTATATTAGAGTATATTAGAGTATATTAGAGGTATATTAGAGTATATTAGAGTATATTAGAGTATATTAGATACTAGAGTATATTAGAGTATATTAGAGTATATTAGAGTATATTAGAGTATATTAGAGTATATTAGAGCATATTAGAGCATATTAGAGCATATTAGAGCATATAAGAGCATATTAGAGCATATTAGAGTATATTAGAGTATATTAGAGTATATGAGAGTATATTAGAGTATATTAGAGTATATTAGAGTATATTAGAGTATATTAGAGTATATTAGAGTATATTAGAGTATATTAGAGTATATTAGAGTATATTAGGGTATATTAGAGTATATTAGAGTATATTAGAGTATATTAGAGTATATTAGAGTATATTAGAGTATATTAGAGTATATTAGAGTATATTAGAGTATATTAGAGTATATTAGAGCATATAAGAGCATATAAGAGCATATAAGAGCATATTAGAGTATATTAGAGTATATTAGAGTATATTAGAGTATATTAGAGTATATTAGAGTATATTAGAGTATATTAGAGTATATTAGAGTATATTAGAGTATATTAGAGTATATTAGAGTATATTAGAGTATATTAGAGTATATTAGACTATATTAGACTATATTAGAGTATATTAGAGTATATTAGAGTATATTAGAGTATATTAGAGTATATTAGAGTATATTAGAATATATTAGACTATATTAGAGTATATTAGAGCATATTAGAGCATATTAGAGCATATTAGAGTATATTAGAGTATATTAGAGTATATTAGAGTATATTAGAGTATATTAGAGTATATTAGAGTATATTAGAGCATATAAGAGCATATTAGAGTATATTAGAGTATATTAGAGTATATTAGAGCATATAAGAGCATATTAGAGTATATTAGAGTATATTCGAGTATATTAGAGTATATTCGAGTATATTAGAGTATATTAGAGTATATTAGAGCATATTAGAGTATATTAGAGTATATTAGAGTATATTAGAGTATATTAGAGTATATTAGAGCATATAAGAGCATATTAGCGTATATTAGAGTATATTAGAGTATATTAGAGTATATTAGAGTATATTAGAGTATATTAGAGTATATTAGAGTATATTAGAGTATATTAGAGTATATTAGAGTATATTAGAGTATATTAGACTATATTAGAGTATATTAGAGTATATTAGAGTATATTAGAGTATATTAGAGTATATTAGAGTATATTAGACTATATTAGACTATATTAGAGTATATTAGAGTATATTAGAGTATATTAGAGTATATTAGACTATATTAGACTATATTAGAGTATATTAGAGTATATTAGAGTACTTATCTCGTAATCATTATTATAATCATTATTATCATAGAGTGTTACTGGCCATGAAATCAGTATGAAATCAGTATGAAATCAGTATGAAAACATGGTTCTGTCGCTTCAGTACTACTGTTTTTATTAGAATGGGATCGATTCGATAAACCTGATGCACTGGGATGGGACTTAGAAATGCTGAAGCGACTGGTGCCACGTGCCACTTCCTGGTCCAACTGGTTCCGAAGTCGGGAAGAACTGGCACCCTCCAGCACAGAGTTGACCAGTTATATCCAGTGATGACAGTTATATCATCCAGTTATCCACCGTTGTTTGGGGTGTGAAATTTTAGGGAACATTTTGTGATCCAGAGGTTTTATAATTCTTTTCCACCTAAAAATTGCCCTTTGGTATACCCCGTTTTTTAGACACAGCCACATGTGTACCTTTCCAAAGTGAGAAGCACCTTAGGCTTGTCTATCCCGGATATTTACAGAATACCATTTTCAAATTGTTTACATCTTGGAAATGTTGCAATTATCCCATTTACAGATGATTCCATATTTTCATATTTTCATTAATGCCATATTCCAAGGGCTCCCATGTGACATTCGGTGATATCCTCCATATCATACATCGCCATGGCTCTCCCCGGGCATCCAATATCCCTCTGGTTGTTGTTTGCTATTGAAAAGTTGCCATTATCGTTCGTTGATTTAGCGGCTATTTTTATATGGAGATCTTCCAGTCGAACTGTACCCTCTGGTAATTTTACATAGCTATTGAAAATGGCCATTATTAATGGGTAAATCCACTATTTCTATGGCCATTTTCAATAGCTATTTTGACATAACCAGAGGGTACACACCGGGTAAATATCCCTGGGCATCGCCAGGTCTTGTGAGGCTTTTTCAGGTCGAGGGCCCCGTTTCGAGGGACTTCGACAGGCGATATCCACGGGTGGATTTTCTGATCGATGACCATGGAAAAACTACGCGAAAACAACGAGCACGTCGTACGTTTTATCATCAAAACACCTGTTTCACCGGTTTAACCATCATTTTTATCATCAAGCTAAAGACCTAAACACCATCATTTTGCCATCATTTTTCTTCAGTGACCTTGTGTTTTAGGTTGATAAAAACAGCCGAATGATGGGGCTCAACGTCCAATGTTTGGCACTATTTGGGTCATTGGGTAATGCGCCAGCCCCAGTTTCTGAATCCCTTGTTGGTCAATCCCGCATTTGAATTGGGGTCCGCCAATGTAGGAAACCCCATGTGCTGGTTCAATCGGTTTAAAAAAAACACCATATTTTCTGATGAAGTTCCCATGTTCTGTTGAATCTCCATAATTTCTTGTTAACCTCTTAACTTCTCCGTGTCTGCCGAATCTCTATTTATGATGCTTAACCCCTCCATTTTTTGATGGTTCCCTGATCGGATCAGATGCTGAAGCAAGCCATCACTGCTGGGGCACCCGGTGAACCACTGTGGGTTTTGGAGTTACAGTGGGGATGTCATATGTGATTTGTTGATTGTTTAACCTCCATTTAATTCGAAAATCTTTCAGTTTTTTTTCTAATGGGATATATATATATATATATAACCAGCAACACAGGATATATTATATATATATTAGAATATGTATATATATATGATACATGTTATAATATATATAATATAATAATATATATATATGAAATATACATATATATATATACATACACATATACATATATATATATATATATATTTATATACACATATACATGTATATATATATATTATATATATATATGGATTTGTCTGAGCATATTGGGAAAACCACCCTAAATTTGAGTGATGACGGCTTATTATCTCACTGAGGTGATCATTATCTCACCCTAGATCCTGTCAGGTGCCCAAAATTCATGGCTACTTGGGATGAACATAGTTTTGTACCCCTTCTGTTCACATCCAAATAGCTGGGATTTATGGATGTGAATAACCCACTAAAAATGTATGGTATTGACCCATACCCAGATTGGAAAGAGAATGAAACCATGAAACTACTCTTCATCGAGTTTCAACCCCAGATAGTTTCCCACTTGTTCGCTAAGTAATTTGCATTTTTGTTGGTTGCTTCAGCCCTAAAGCCGCACCTCTCGAAGTGACCCAAGTGACCCAGAATCCTTGATCCATTTCATCCATTTCTTTGGGGTAAAGTTGACTTTAGCATGGAATACCAGCACTGATGATACCCTCTGGTAAACTAACATAACTATGGAAACTCACCATTTTTGATGGGAAAATCCACTATAAATGGCCATTTTCAATAGCTACGTTAAATTACCAGAGGGTATTTTAGCTAGAAACACCACCACCAAATATCATGATCATCAGAATTATTGCAGCGAAATACGATGATACGATCCGGAACGTCATTCCCAAATAGCTGGGAATCATTGGCCACGATACCAATATATCCAAATGCCACATTTCACACCATTTAGTCAGTAGAAATACCATCTCCGCCGACCCCCCTTTAAGGGGGGGGGCATGGATTGAGCTGGCTCAGAACATGAAAAAACCAGAGCAAGCACGACGCAGCATATAGGAATACCACGGAATATCTTATATGCAGTTTCAAGACCTGTAACAGGTAGACTCCTTGGGCCTAGCCTTCGGCCCAGCGGCAGTTTCAAGACCCGCAAAAGATAGATTCCTTTGGCCCGGCCTTAAGTCCAGTGGAACGAAAAGTGCCCAACAGCAGCTTCAAGACCTGTAACAGAGAGACTCCTTGAGCCCGGCCTTTGGGCCAGTGGACTGAACGGCAGTTCCAAGACCCGTAGACTCCGGGGGCAGGTTTGGGCCCAGCGGCAGTTTCAAGCCCCGTAACAGATAGATTCCTTGGGCCTGGCCTTGCGCCAGATCCGCAAAGCTGGGGTCCTGTTTGCTGCCTTGCAGCGGATGTAATTGCAGAACGGGTTGGCTCTGTTGCGAACCTGCGGTGATCCCAGGCGCCTCCCCCCTAGGCCAAGGCTACACAGGGGTCGGCGGACTAGATGAATTAGTAGATGAGATTAGATGATATTAGGAATTATAGATGGGTATGGATCAATACCTATTAATACCATTTTTAGGGGGATGAACATCCATTTACCAGCTATTTTTATTTTCACCAGGGGTACAAGGTTTTGACCATTTTTGACCCATCCCCAGATGATATTAGGAATTATAGATGCTGAAATCTTCCAATGGATTCCCCCTTTTCCAATGTGACCGCCCCGGATCCACCCCGGCTCCGCCCCGGAGCTCCCAGGCGAACGATGCATGGCATCCCCGACGCGACGCGTTGCTGGTGGAGATCCAGGGGCAGGAGCTGCGGACCGTCGACGCGAACGAGCGCCTGGACGTTGGCGGTTGGTGGCGGTTGGTGGCGGTTGGTGGAACCAAAAAGATAGGGAAGATGCGGCTAGAAAATGTGGGAAAATAAATTGGAAAAAGGTATGGATAATGGATTGATGTGCGGAACTAGGAGATTTCTTGGGGAAACTGTGGGTTGAAACTTGGGAAATGTGGCAAAAAAAATTGGAAAGAGATGAAATTTGGTTGCTTTGGATGATTTGGATGAACCGGTGATCTAGCATCTTCGATGTGTCCATTTTGGCTGCAACTATTGTCTAAATGCTGCATTGTTTCCCGCATCCCTGCTGCTTGTGCATTTGGAAGGTGTTGAGATTCAGCCCCATGTTCGAAAACTGCCGTTTGCAGTTTTCAGCGCCAAAACATGATTATGTTTTCTGTTGGTGCCCATGGTCCCCAAACAGATGGAACAGGAAAAACCATGTATTCCAAACAACCGGAGTAAAACCATGTCGATCGGCTAGCATCTATTTCAATCTATTTCATGATTGGCCTACCATTTCAACTAATATATATATATATGTATATATATATTATCTGTATATATATATATATATTATATGTATATATATATATATTATATGTATATATATATTATGTATATATATATGTATAAATATGTATAAATGACATAGATATGGAATGTGTCCACCACTTATAGATCATCTTCCAAACAGGAAACCAAACCCAAACCCACATGTGCCCTTTTCAGGCCCAGACGGATTTCCTTGCAGTTCGCAGACCTCATGTACAGCCACATAGAAGGTGACGGCCGAGCACTGGAGATCACTTTCCCCTAGTGAAAACACAGAAAAACACAGCATTTTGAGACAGGTCCACATCATAAAACTGAAATAGTGTAAATGCAATATCATTAATATGTGTACATTCTACATCTTGATCTATTTCTGCATCCATATGCAAACTACATGTATCCGTGAGATATATGTGGATGAATATACACTTACATACAGGATGTATTTGGTTAGGAAAATGCCAATTTTCAGTGGGCAAATTTTGATTTGACTACTGGATGGTGTTTTATTCTTGAGGTTTCCATCATTTTTCCGTCAACCCTTCATGTGGTTTCTCTCCGTCGCCGCGCAGAAAGCTTGGCGAAAGGGACGTTGTTCAAGACGGAGACAGCAGACCAAGAGGACCCGGTCCACGGGTTGGCCCCAGTTGGTCTGTAGCAATAAACCTCATGAATTGTCCACCAAAATGGATAAAATGGGGATGATATCCCAGCAATGTGATATTTCAATGGGATATAGATAATTGATAATTATATATATATATATATATATATATAGATCATTATAGATGTATAACTGGAGAATCCCAATGAGTTTCATGGGATTCTAAAAATCGCCTCCAAGGCTCCCTTTTCGCACGGCTCACGTGAGCGGCTCACGTCCGCGCAGGACATGCGAAAGTGTGTCTTTTGCTTGGCACCCCGATGGAGTATGATGGAGTCACTTGGTCCACTGAGTTTACTGGAAGTGGATGATAGTAAATCAATGAATTACTATGGAAAATATGGGGTATCATGGTATATACCTGGTATATTGATATTTCTATACCATGGTATTTTCTGATGTTTTTTTTGGGTATCCAGAAAATATCCATGGACAACCACCTGATCCCTGACTTTTCGATGTAAATCCAGATCCCAGATATCCATTGTGCCATGTGTGATAGCCTTGTGGGCACGGAATTTGAATGAATTTCCCCCATTGGTTGATGTTCCCCTCGAGGATTTCCCTTTTTTTCCCTTATCAAAACTGAGGAAAAGACAAGAAAATGGAACCTGACCAAAGTCACAACATGTCCAGAAATTCTTGGTGTAGAGCCACTGAGAACCTTTTGAAGAATTCCAAATTCCAAATCAGAAGGCATGGCATGGTGTTTTATAATGTTTTATAGTTGTGAAAGATCCCAAGTTCTGAAAGATCTTTGGTGAGCCGAAAATTTTGATCGGTGAGATCCATGGATTTATCGATCGCCTCGCCAGGGTAGGCACAGCCAAAGGGATGGACAGCGAAATCGAAGACGTCTGGTTCCTTTGTTCCCAATTGACGCTCGCCATGGGAATGGAATGGCCATGAGGCTGGCCTTGATAGAAAACCATCTACTTTGGTATACACCATTATAATCCAATATAACAAGGATTATGGCATTTATATGCATTTAAATGCATTTATATGCATTTATATGCATTTATATGATATTATTATCCATTCTAAAAAGCCACCAGTTATATCATTTGGTAGAAAATGACATAGCTCCAGTTCATGCCAATCAAGATCAGAGTTGGCCCTCGTGGGTCACTGGAAAATGGGTTAAAATCGAGCACCAAAATCCACTGATTCGATGGGCACAGCCACCTGATCCCCCATGGTACCCCCATATATGGCCCATTTCCCATAGCCTCCAGAAGCATCCAATTCTCCATATCCTCCAACATTCTCCATGGTTTTTTGAGTGAGCCAATCATCATCCCATGGGCCCCATTGGCCTGGTCCATATATTTCTAGCCCATGAAACCCAAAAGATTCTCAATGATCATCCGATCATCCCCACGATGTTTTGTGGAGACTCAGTGGAGACCACTGACGAACCAATTCTCTGAGGAATGAGGAACAGACCCTTGGCGCAATTTTTTTTTGAACTCGGTGAGTTCATGGGGTGAATCAATCCAGCAATCCAGTTGGTTTCTTCTTCATGTCATGTTTGAATGAGGATAGATATCATCAACCATCACCAAGAATGTTTGGATATGCCAATAACTCATCAATAAAATTCTCAATATTTTTGGGATATAGAAACACATCAGCTTTTTTGGGGGGGTTTAAGTTTGTGACATACCCAACTGGCTTTGTCTGGTAATAATTGTCATCTAATGGGGTGAATCGGTGCTAAGTGCTATCTTCAAAAATATCCCCTGTGGGTTTGTTTGAAATATGGGTTTTGTATACCAGCCAAATTGCAACTGGAAAATGATGAGTTTATCAGTGTTTTTTTTGGGGTATGTTCAGACAAACCCACATGGTCACCCAAAATGAATACAGTAGATCCTTAAAACTCAGGGGCTTTGGGGGTGTTCTTTTAAGGGGAAGGGAGTATCAACTAGGTTTATGGGATCAATTGGTGCCATTGATAGTTGATTCACTTCCATTTACATCAGGGTTGCCGATGGAAAGAGACTTCTGTCTTCGAAGTCATGGGTGTCTCCGAAGTTATGGGGGTATCCCCAAATCATCCATGTTAGTAGGATTTTCCCTTACCATCCAGCTATTGGGGTACCCCCATTTATGGAAACCACCACTTGGTATAGATGGGTCTGACTTGACTCCCCGGCCCTGAACTCCGCCATGAGTCAATTGGGGAGGACAATATACACGTCATATCTTTTACGTGACATGCATGATTAGATATGCACGCATGTGTAGACACAGACATAGATGTAGACATTGATATGTAGATTATTTTTTTGACATAGACACAGGTTAGTAAACATCGATATAGATATACGATCGATATATCATGATATATCTAGACATGAACGATCTCCAGGTCGTTCATTCCAGTGCTCCGAGGTTAGAAATGTTCCTGAGACAAATGGGACGAGTCGGTTGTCTGCGCTGGGCGACTGGGCGGAAAACCCGAGTGAACTGACCGGACCCACCCGGCACCACCGGGCCGGCCACAGGGTGTTCCCAACAAAATGACTAGTTGATGTAGGAATCGCCAAAAATGGGCTGGTGTTTGATGAACGAGAAATTGCCTGGAGGATGTATGAATCATACCAAATCATACCAAATCCAGCTCGAAAGATCTTGAAACTGCTTATATCATCTTATATCCACCATTCTTTAGTTCAGAATCGCAGGATAAGTTGAGTTGAGCCAGCATTTAATCATGCCAAAAAGTGGTTTACTTCCAGTTTGTTAATGATACTTTTGCCCCGATGATTTTCATCAGTTGGGAATTTCGAAGTCCTTGTTATTGGCCTGGTGGATGAAAAAAATGTTTCTGACCCGCTATGAACAAATGAATATACGTATGTAATACATATATACTTATTATATATACATATGCATATATGTAAATAAATAAATATATATATGTGTATACATATATAGTTGAATAGATACTAGTGTATATGATTGGCTTATGTCCTAACTTTGAGTAGATGGATCTGAATTATTTCGACCTGTTTGTCATGGCTTTCCTCATTTTTTCGGAACTGAGATGCCTGGTGAGTGGCTGCGTGAAGCATTTTCGGTGAGATCTCCAGGCTTTTTGTTTCTGCACTATCGCCCAATCATCACTAAACACCCGAGATAGATTCAGATAGATATCATATATATATATAAGATTCAGATAGAGGCATTTGGCACGAGCTTCGCTGCCTGTCGAACTAAGGATTCATTGTGTCAAGCTTCGCACACTCGAGAAGTGTAACAGTTCTTCAAGTGTTTTATTTTTGCTATGATTTGCACCTGCCTTTGCTGGCACGCACATATTCATTTTGACTTTTGAGACTCCTCTCTCACAATTCTCTTTTGATTCCAGCACTCACACTCGATCACTCAATTTGAGCCATGGCAACTGAAACACCGCCTGCTTCGCCGACACCGTCGGCGCAGCCGAGAGTCGAGATCACCCAGGAAGACTACGATTTGTTGCAGAAATTCAAGCAACAAAACCAGCAGCCTCCAACAGAGAGTCGACCAGATTCACCCAAGAGACAAAAGCTGGATGATGACCTACAGACATTTGTGGATGCCTTAGCTGAACGAGAAATAGATTGGATGGAGCTTGACCCTCAACTCAGACATCGCCTGCAAACTGATGCTGAGGCTCGAAGAGATTTTCAGCTTGTGCAATTGACACCGGATGCAGCCAAGGCTTATGACCCGGAGAAGAAGAGCTTCACAACAGTGAACCTGAGCAAAAAGCGGATCTTTAGTGACCAGGAAAAGTTGACGGCAGAGACACCCACCTTGACCATACCGGAAGAGTCCATCAAAGCTGCTATGATTGAATATCATAGCCAAACCGTGCTCCCGAACATGGACAGACTCTGGAAGACATGTGCTGAATTTTACGCAAATACGGTGATGGAATCCCAATATGTACAGCTGCACTTTGACCTTGTGGACACGCGACTTCGGTCGCTGGAGCAGTCACGGTCCAACAAGACAGTATTGATCCGTGGATTACCTGCCTTTGGGTACTCCCGTTCGGCCCTAGAGAAGAACGTGCGATATTTCCTTTCCAAGGCTTCCCTGGACTTCTCATGTGTCGCAGCCATGCATACTCGTCCTCGAGCATCATGCGGCTGGAGCTGACCACTGAAGAACAGCGGCGCCAGCTCTTTCAGGCAATGAGAACCTCAAAACAGATGTGGCGTTTACCCATCCAACAGCAAGACCAATATCACGAGGAGAAAGCCAAGGTTGAACAGGATCTCCCCACAGATGAGCGAATTGCCCTACAGCCTTACTATACAATGATGGATATTTTGCAGAAAATTGGCCCAGCTGGTGCCAATGGGGAGCTGCAGACTGACCGCAACACACTACAAATCTGGGGTGACAAAGCTCAGGCTCCTTGCCCACTTCTCTCCCAGGTGTGCTACCTGCTGGGTCACCGGTTTGCGCGTAGGTACGTCTGCGTGGTGTTTGTCGCAGAGGCCTACTATGAGGAAACCCTGGCCCGCTGGCATGAGGCATTCTCCTCGAGGATGAGAACAACACTCATGTTGGTGCAAGCCCTTCAGCGTGCTGTTGGAGACAAGACCACAGTGGCTCGCCACTCCTGGAACAAAGCATTTGACTTGGCAAACATCCCAGACCCTCAGTTGCACTTTGAATACCCATTGATTCCGCTGAGCATGTCGAGTTCTTTGGCAGCACTGCTTGAGAAGCACCCTTCTCTTCCGCTGCAGGGGGCGTCCGGCCTTCTAGCGACGGTATCCCAAGTTTTTCAAGATTACGGGGTTCAAGTGGAAGATTATGGCAAGGGGAGCTCAAAGGGTGCGCTTCGAGACAAAGGCTCTGACTCACCAAAAAAGAAGGGGAAGTCGAAAGGCGTCAAGCCCTGGTCCAATTGGCATCCAATTGGCAAGACCGTGCGCCAGATCAATCCAAGTGGCAGTGGCGAAGGGATGATGATCATCAAGATAGACCCTCGGGCCCCTCCTGGCCTGCCAAATTTGGCAGCACATGGACGAACTGGAGTGCCCGCCCGACAGGAAAGGGCCGCTCCACTGCAAAAGGCAGCTCGCGTGGTGGCAGATCATGGGATTTCATGCTGTGTCAAATCTGTCTTTGCGCTTTGGGTGTGAACTTGGATTGCCGAGAATGCAGCAAGTATGAGGCTCCTCCAGGCACTGCGAAGCAGCCGGCCCCTGTGAAAACAGTTTGGTGCCCAGGTATTGCTGCGGATGGCAGCATCTGCAATGCACGACTGGGCTTCGGTGATTGCAGTCTGTGTCGGGCGCATGTCGATTTTTGGAAGTATCCACAATCCGACTCCTTGACGGTATCTCCGTATCGGCTTGCAGAGATATACCAGGTGGACCGCATCCTGTATGACTATGACTTGACCAAGTGTGACCCAGAAAAGCTTCAGCACTATATCCAAGAACTCCGACATCGCATTGGCGAGACTGGCACCGACCAATTCACCACAGAGCAATGGTCCTTTGCATGGATCCTTCGGGTTCTTGCGCGAGAACACCATTTTCTTCCCTTGCTTCAATCTTCAGTTCTGCCCTTTGAAATCAATCCAAAACAGACGGAGGAATACCTCCACAATGCTGGCTGTGACATCACCACGCTGATCAGGGATCATTTTGCCACTTTGGATTATTTTGCTTTCCTTTTTGAGGAACTATGGCAACAAGAATGGGAATCTTTGACTTCGCATTGGGAACTGCAAGATGAGATAGCTGACCTCAATTTGATCACAGCGGCTGTGATCCCGTGGGACTCCATGGTTGCTAGCTCGCTGCAGCTGGCTTTTGAAGAATTGGAGCAGGGCGAGCTCCTTCATAGCAAGCCCGGCACCAAGCTCACCCGAGATCTATTTGACCTTTTGGGAGCCTCACTGGCAGCTGATGATTTTTCGCCTTTTGAATCTGTCTTGCACCGTTTTGCAGATTGGCTGATGCATTCTGACTTCAGCTTGGATGTTTTCTTGGGCCGCAATCTCTATAGTAATGAGACCTTGAAATCCCTGAGTGCATTTGCGACTGCTTTCACTGATGTTTGTTTCTGGCAGATTTCTCGCGCATACATGGTTCACACTGCCAAGAAGCCAAAGGCTCAACATCAAGTGCCTAATGAGGCCCTAAACTTTTTATATGACAAATTCATCCCTTTGCTCCATCTCCCACGGGAGGATGCACAATGGGCCCTTACCCAACGTCATTTCAACAATAAAGGCAATTCTTTGGAGGTGTTGTTGTTTAGCTATGCTGAGGAAGGGTCCCATGGGGATTACTGGCAGTTGCTTTGGGTTCTGTTTATGTACCAATACAAGGATGCCCGGTTCCCATGGATTGTTCAAGTTCTCTGACTAGCTAATTCGTCAGCCTCGAGTGAACTAATGACCTTTTCCCCCAAAATGTTGATCCCCAATCAAGATCCGCTGCAGGAACAATCTAATAAGGAAATTGCGCCTACTAAGGAAAGCGCACAAAAGGGCCAAAGGCCCCTAGACTCTTTCAGAACGGATTGCTCCAAATGGCTGCATTCCTCTCCTTTCTCAGGCAATGTGAGTGTATATTCAATATTACGGTTGGCAGAGCGGCCCAGGGCCAGCGAAACTAAGTGTATGTCCAGGCTTCGAGCTCCAAATAGCGTTTGTCTGGTTCTTTCTAGGCGCTGGGCTGGCATGGCCATGGACGTGCTTTTTTGCGAGTGCTCGGAACAAAATTGGGCAATGTCAGCTATAGCCCGCAACAGACAGGCTCACATCACAAACGGCAATCAATTTTGCCAGCAGTGTGGTCTTTTTCTAGGCACATGGTTTTTCACTAACCTGCCCACCAAATTTCGATCCTGGCCGGTCCTTCTCCCGAATGGCATGATGGTTCACCATTTCCGAATTTGTAAGCATCACCTTTCACTCTGGTATTACCGCAGAGGCGCCAGAATATATAGCGTTTATACAGGGCTTGCCAAGACCAATCTCATAAAGCAGCTTGAAGCAGCGGGGGCCGCCAGAGGCGTGCCGGGAGACCACGGCTTCTCTCCTCATAAGCAGTTTTTCCAATACCAACGGTATGCCCTCCAACCAGTTGTCAAAGCAAGTGGTCACGAACCCCGCAGTGCGTCGGGGGGGCAACGAACCCATCAAAACTTGCGTTCAGAACTGATGCGTGCTCGTAGGATATCCTCCTATCAGGACTCTAGACGCAAATCACGGCGGGAATACCGCCAATGGCGCTCTGATATCCGCAGTACTGTGAACTTCACCCTAGCTCAGTACTGCCCCCCCCCGAAAAGGGTGCAAGTTAGTGTTCAACAGCAAATTCGATCCACTGGTCCTAGTAAAATCTCCCCTGGCTGCACTTCCCACACCTTCTTTTTCCGTAAATTCATCCAACGCGATCGGCTCTCCCTTCCACCTTCCCGCCTTCAGACTTTGGCTACGCCGCATCGACGAATTGTTTTACATTCGTGGAACATAGAAACTTTTGCGCGGTATTGGGAAATTCGAAATGCTAGCCCAGACCCTCAACTCCCTCCCAATGGGAATTGTCTGCCTGCAAGAAACTAAGAGCCTTTGCACTGACCATGTAAGATCTTTAAATTGGCACTTCTATCTGTCGGGGGATGCGTCAGACCCCCATGCCGGTGTTGGCTTCGCCGTTCCCCAATTTCTCCACCCGCTTGTCCATGATTTTATACCCGTAACTTCTCGGATAGCAATTTTACAGCTCTCCACCAAACCCCGCCCCATTTCCCTTTTCTCCATCTATGCTCCCTCCCAACTCGCAGATGCCCAGGAAGACTCCGACCGCAAAAACATTTTCTGGCGTTCTCTAGACACCTGGTACACTCAATTCTCGTCTCACTCTTACCCAATCCTCATGGGCGATTTCAACACCCGTCTGTATACCAATCACATTGCCGGCCTTGGCAGACATATTGGTCCAGTACTTTTCTCTACAAGTACCGAAGCAGACCTTGAAACGAACAACCTGACCCACATGATTGAATTTCTAGTTCAGCACGACCTGAGCATCATCTCCTCTATGCGGCCACGCCCTCCCTCCAAACTGGTCACCTACCGTGCAATAGCTGATTTAACTGACGACCCTTTCCACCCCAATGTCGACAACTTTGCAGTCTTGGACCATGTTCTTGCCCCCTTTCAATATCGTACTCTTTTCCGCTCTATCCATTCCAATCCGTCCATACGCCTCCCTTGGTTTCATAGGCATTATGTGCTTACTGCCAATTTCACTTGCCCTGATTTTGTCGCAAAGCACAAGCCGGCAGCCCCTCCACAATATCTGCCTCCCACCAATGAGCAGAAATTACATTTCCAGGCGCACCTGATGGAGCAATTTTGTAGCCACTCTTCTGCCCGCTATCACGCTCCCACCTCGGAACCCATTCCTGGATCCCTCCATATATATACAGACGGCTCTTGTCCTGACCAGCACAATGTAAGCCTTCACAACCCCGCTGGCTGGGGCGTTTACGTTTCAGCTCCCTTTGAAATCGATCATTTTGGGTCTGTAGGGCACCTCCCTTTCCCAGTAATGGGCAGCAATAACACTGCGGAGCTCCAAGCCATTCTCGAAGCTTTGCTTTTGCTCCCTTTTCTGCCCGCCCACACAAGCGCAATTACCCTCCACACAGATTCCAAATATGCCTATGACCTGCTCCTTGGGCCCGCCATCCCATCTGCAAATCCCCAACTGGCCAACCTCCTGTTAGCCACTTTTACCCATATCACCTCCCAAATGCCCGTTGCCGTGGTAAAAGTAAAAGGACATTCTGGAAATTTAGGAAATGATCGGGCAGACTCCAACGCCGCTCGAGGAACCACTTCCTCCTCCAACCTTGGTCGGTATGCATCCTTCCCTCCCTCCCCTCCTATTTTACCCCCGGACCCACTCACACGTTGGTTCTCCTCCCTGCCCCTACCGGCTCAAACTGATCATTTGGTCAGCTCTTTATTAAACGCAGCTACTGTCTCCTTCTCCCGGAAACCTGCATCCATCCGGAAACCTTATCTCTCTGTGTCCACCCAGCAAGAAATTTCTAATCTCAATAGCGGGACACTCAACGCATCGGATGTTGCCACCTTACGAAGACAGATACGCTCCCATGCTGCCCGCGATAAAAAGCGCTGGACTCTGCGCCAGCTGGACATAGATCATCGCTCCTCCCCTGCTGATCGGTGGAAGACCATCAAGCGTGTCCGCTCCAAATATCAACCCCGCACTCAATCAGTTTGCTGGCCATCCGGGCGCCCAAGTACAGCCGCCGAAAAGCCGGAAGTGCTTGCTCAATATTTGAGGGATACAGTCTGGAAGCCATCCTCATGTCCGCCCCCATCTCTTGCCCGATTGTTCCCCTGTCTTGATGCTGCCTTTGCCCCGTTCACCATGGTGGACATACATTTTGCCCTCCGCCGCCTAAAGTCACGCAAAGCTCCTGGCCCTGACCAAGTCAGTATCGACCTTTATAAACTCCTCCCTTATGCGTTGCGCCGCCTCCTCCTTGAATACTTCAACAGCTGCTTCCTTTCTGCCTCTGCTCCGGATCATTGGAAATTGGCAAGGGTCGTTATGATATTCAAAGGCGGAGGTAAAAATAGCCGCATGCCGTCAGCATACAGGCCCATTAGCCTTGCCAACTCCATTTATAAATTGTATGCAGCTCTCCTTCAGGCACGGCTGGCCTATCATTTTGATGACCGTATCAGTGACCTCCAGTATGGGTTTCGTAAGGCGCGGTCCACGAGTTCACCTCTCTTCATTATCAGGCGCCTGGCTGAACTCTTTGAACGGCATACCACATCTCTTTACATCCTGTTCTTAGATTGGTCTCAAGCTTTTGATTGCATTAGCCATGAACATCTTACAGCCTCTCTTGTTCGAATTGGTCTCCCTCTGCCCTTTGTGCATGCAATTTCTTCGCTATATCAGGACGGCAAATTTTTCGTTGCCACTCCCCAGCATACCTCCGCCACCTACAAGTTATCACGCGGCATCCGTCAAGGTTGCCCCCTGAGTCCCTACCTGTTCATTCTGGTCCTTTCAGTTCTGATGCACGATGTTTATTCTCTTTTCGAACAGTTTTTCCATTACACTCCTTGGACCTTCTCCGCCCGCACCCCTGTAACCGACATTGAATATGCTGATGACACAGTACTGATGACACAGTACTGATGGCTCGTACCCAGCTCACCCTTCATCGGCTGTTACATACTCTTCAGCATGAAGCTTGCAAACGTGGCCTCTTCTTAAATCCGGACAAATGTCAACTCCTTCGTCTCCATTCTGATCTCCCTATTCATTTGTCTCCTTGTGTAGACCCCTGCAGCCCATGCTCCTGCTCTCATTGTTCAGGTACTGCCCCTTTCGGCCCACAGATCCACCCCGTTAATTCTGCGAAGTACCTTGGGGCATACATAACTGCCAACGGTTCCTCTGTTGCTGATTGCAACTACAGATATTCCCAGGCGTCCGGAGCCTTCCGCTCCCTCTTTCCCGTCTTTACAAATCCTGCTCTCCCGTTCCGACGGCGCCTTCAAATCTATTCACAAATTGTTATGGCAATTCTCCTTTATGGTTGTGAGTCACAGGTTTACACTCCTGCCCAAATCACCAGATTTAATGCCCTCCACTACAAAGTTCTCCGACAAATCTTCCAAGTTAAAAGCTCCTTCTACCACAGGGTCTTGCAGCCCTCTGATGCGGAATGTTCAAATGCTTTCCTTCTTCAGCTTGCTTACGTTCATGCACCTCGTCTCCTGATCCCTAGTCAACGAATCTCAGTCCAACGTCTACGATACCTAGGCCACATACTCCGCCACTTTGACTCCCTTGAACATAAAATTTCGTTCAATACTTCCCACTCTTTGCGTACAATTTCCTCTCCATTTCGGATCGGCCGCCCCAGAGTGCATTGGCCGGAAATAGCGATGTCTGAAGCCTATCATCGCTATCTTCAGCTCCACAATGGACATTCTCCCTCCAACCAGGAAGTGCACCACCCTCTATACGAGATTGCCACAACTGCAACAGTTCAACGCTACTTTGGCCCTTCCTTGATTGACTGGCAAAATACCACTACCATTTGGAACGCATTGTTGCCCGTGGCTTCGAATCGCTATGATTGGGATCAACTTGTATTCCCCGGAAATGGGAGAGTTCACTCGAACACTGCTGACGCGTAGTCCTCGAGGCCTGTGCTATGGACTGCATTTCAGATAGGTCCAGCCAGCCCAAAATTTGAGCCTAATGTTTTGGATATTTTTGGATCAGTTCGATCTGTTGATCGTCCTGCCATGGCATGGAAGATCCCACAGCTGAGGACTTCAATGAGACATATCTCCTCACCAAGCGAGTTCTGGGCTCAGGCACGCCAACCTCACGGGAAGGGTGATGATTTTGGGTCTCAATAGCCGGGGAATAGCCAAAAATAACCCCATTCATGGCCATTTTATATTGGGAAATTTGATAGATATTCCTTTGGAATTGAAGAGCTGACCCATTTTCAGACCCATTTAGTGGATGGGAGTTCGATCTACCAAATAATTGGCAGAAAAGATGTGGCCCCCTGAAAACAGATGTAAAAAGTCATTCCGAGTCATTTTGGTGATGTTTGTTGATTTGTTGCTTAGTTTTTTTTTAATATATCGGATATCGATGGGGTCGTAACTTGCATGTATGGATTTCTTTATCTCGACCCTCTGGTAAACTAACGTAACTATGGAAAATCACCATTTTTAATGGGTAAATCCACTATAAATGGTCATTTTCAATAGCTATGTTCGTTCACCAGAGGGTATGCGTTGAAGTGACACATAGCCACCTGACCATGGAAACGAAGTTGAGATGGAATGGGTCAACCCTCGGCCCTCGCCACTGATGTGGCTTTCGGAAAGTGAACCCAATATCGATGCCTAAATTCCAGACAGAGTAACCCGAGTAACCCCCCATCATTAAATGCTAATCAATTGGGAGTTGATTACTCCAGCCTTGCCCCATCAACTGTGCTGCAAGGGTTCCTTGCTTTCTACAATCCCTTTATGCAAAGTCATCGTTTCATACCGTCGCTGATGTATTCCCAAAAACGAAGACTAAACACTGTTTCAAACATCCAAAGATCACTATTTAAAATGCTAAAAACACTTCAAAAACATCTAGACAAAAATGGGTTTGTCTGAAAATAGTGTACCCCTACACCCAATGGTTTTGCTGATCATTATCCCTACTAAATGGCTATTTCATTGGGGGTATACCCTATTTTCAAACAAATCCCGTGTCGAAAACCTCGCAGATTTCTGCCGGAGGTGGCTTTAGCATCGTCTACGATGGCATGTCGCACGGCGTTCGGAAGTTTTTTGTTTTTCACTTCCAAGAAATGCTGTGTCTGGGGAAAATTGGTGCAATTGCCAATCGAATTGTCATCTTCTAGGGAACATGATGTGTGCCAATACACAATAGATTTAGAGACCCAATTTTCATCAATTTTCCCAATAAACTCCGATTTAGAGAGTCCCAATAGATATAATGGATATTGGATGTTTACAATGGATATATGGATAGTCCCAATAGATAGTCCCAAAGAAGATATCCGTAGTCCCAATAGCCCAATTTTCGATGTCCCAACAGACACTCGACAGCAGCGGATTGCATGAGTTTTGACCCCGGAAAACATCGATGCAAAAAAATGACCCAAAAAAGTGAAGTGAACGATCTCAACCGTAGGAGTTTTGTTTAAGATAATATGTTTAGTATAAATTGTCACATGATAGAACATTAATTTTTAGTAATTTTAGTATGTTTCACATACTTGTATTGATACCGCATGTTGAGATGAGCTTTTTCAAATCACCATTTGGGCTCATTTTAGAATAGGGTTTCCCCATTTTCAGACCCATGTTGAAGGTTGTATATCTCATTATTTACAAGTATATATATATAAGTAATGTTCAAGTATCTCCCCACTAATGGATATACTTACCTTGGGATATAATGGAGATATCCAATTATCTCCCAATTTGATCCAATGTATAAGGGAGTTACAACCAATCATATATGTATATATAGTATAACTATCATTAGCAGCTAGTCATATAATTGGATGTTGATATACACCATTACTATATCACACTATTTAACATCATTGATATCCCTATTTTCATATAGTTAATATCCCCATTTAATATTCCTATATTTTATTCCCAGTATATCCATTAGTGGTATATTAATCTCCAATCATCCAATAATTTCACCACCAAAAAGGTCAATGTAAGGGATATGTATTGGCATGGAAAAAAAAGGTCAAAACCTGCAAAAACGAAGGCGACCTTTTCTAACTGAGGCAAACCTTGCAACAAAAGTTTGTTTATCGATTTCCATTTGAGCAGCGAACGTCAAGAATGGTGTATCATGGAGTTGTGGTTTGGTCTTTACCTGTTCTCCCTTGTCGCTTTCATGCCTTTCCTGTGACGGTTTCTGTTGGCCTCCTTTCGTAACGAAGGAAACATAGATATTCCATTTTGGGCAATAGAGTTTTGGAGGTAGCTCATATATAGTATATCTATATATATATAGTGTATATATATAGTGTATATATATATAGTGTATATATATATATATAGTGTATATATATATAGTGTATATATATATATATAGTATATAAAATATAGTATATACATCATGAATATCCTCATCCCCCATCGCTATGGCAATCCCATCACCTGAGGCGCCGTAGCGGCTTCGCAACTTTAGCACAGCTGCAAGAGGTGCCACGGGGCACCGGGGTCATACGAAAATCCTGGAGAAATCCATGATGAATGATAGGTATAATGGGATATCATGGGATATCATGTTGCTAAGATGGTTAATACCATTACCAAGTGGAAAAATCCTCCATGATTGATGTTGATTGGTGCTTAAATGGTGATTAACCATGTATTACCTCCTGGTAAAAGTTTACAGTTTGCGAAGTGGAAAATCACCATGAATTGAATGGGTAAATAAGCGAACTAGCTATGGCCATTTTCCATAGCTATGTTGAATTACCAGATGGTAAATGTTATGTTTTGATTCTAATGTCTTACTTTGGATTCATTTTTGGGGACAAGAGTATTGGATTTATGTTTCTTGTTATTATGCATTTTTGTCATTGACTATTGTTGGAATCAAAGAAAGAAACGCCACTTGATGATTTTCGCACCGAATGCTTTGAGTCAAAATATGTTCTGTCTTTGTTGTGAGACCTTTTTGCAGGCGGTCTTCGCATACTTCATGAGCACACATGACTGACACGACCAATATACACTACTTCATCCAGAACCACCAACAAAAATCATGGCTTTTGGGGGGCAGAGATTTCAATCATTTCAATCACCCAGCAGTTTCCATCGACGTTTTTTTCCCTTCCCCAACTACAGGATGAGGATGAAGAGTGCCGTGGCATTTTTATGACTCCGGCAATGCTGATCAGGGAATCCAAGAGCCATGCCACTGATTGCCACTGCTGATCCATTAGTGATGCACCAAGATGAAAACAAGTACCCTCTGGTAATTTGTTACATAGCTATTGAAAATCACCATTTATAGTGGATTTTCCCATTAAAAATTGTGATTTTCCATAGCTATGTTAAATTACCAGAGGGTAACCAAGTAATTCTGTCAATCTGCAGATATTGATCAAGAGATACTCTGTTTCGAGATATTAATGATATTAAGCAACCATAGAATGTACATGAATGTACGATCACCGGTGGGAAGCTAAATTACTTGCTCCGCAAAAGGGATGGCGCGTCACGGTTTGTGGTTTCAAATTTGGACGCCAGTGTCTACCAATCACCCAACGGCCACATGGAAACCGCGGTATGGAAACAAAAAAAACATCACCGGCCGCAAAGGACCCAGCAACTAAGCTTCCTACTTTTACTAGGAGTTTTCAAACCTTGAACAAAACTTGCAGGTTTTTTCACCAAAACTCGAGGGTTGTAACCTGTCTCAGCTTAACTAGCTTTTAGTTGATGCTGAAGAGCCTTATTGTTGTTTGTCATAGTGACTGTCATATTTCCAAAAATCTGGTGATATAAACCATTATACATCCATTAATACATCCATTAATACACTTTTTTGGTGCTGCAGGATTCAGTGCTGGATTCATCCCATTTTTCACCAGAAACCATCCCAAGGTCTGGTGGATGTCTGTGGTCGAGGTCGCAGCAGGAGCCGAGCTATGTGGCGTCCGGATGCCTATGTGAGTTCCAATGGAATTCATGGAGAAAATCATGGAGAAAACTAAAGAGGTACCCTCTGGTAAACTAACAGTTTGCTATTGAAAATGACCATTTATAGTGAGTTCATCCATTGAAAATGGTGATCTTCCATAGTTTTTTGTATGTTTACCAGAGGCTATTCCAATGGATCATTGGAGATTTGACCCTGGATCATATTGGGTTAGGCGTCAGAGTTATTTGGGTCGTTGTGTTTTGGTGATGTTTCCTGTACGACTTTCATTTGGGTGGAGTTGTTGAGAGTGATTGCTTTTCCGCGTGTGCCCCATGCATTTGGGAAGATGCTCATAGGGTGCCCATAGGGTTTGACATTGTTGGCATTATTGTTGACACCTTTCAAAAGCTCAGAACACGTCAGAACCAACGCATGTGCAGCGTATGATCCTGTTTACCCGCGCTGTGTCATTGTATGCTCCTGTGCAAACTCACGTGTCAAACGCGCTGTGCCATTGGGTCCAAACATTTAGCTGTACGGATGTCTACACTTTGTTACTCACGTTGTGCGATTGTATTCTCCTGTTCGAATCATCCAAAATATAATATATGATTGCATTGAGATTTACTACAGTGTGCGCAAAGAATCCGATGAAATCAACTTCCGAAAAGGTCCCTGCGAAACATGTGCCCAATGGCCCAATGGTGTTTTGATATGTTCTGGTTGACTTCTCGCGGGATGCCTGACTTGACGCGTTTGCTATGCCCATGGCGATGTTTGACTTTTGACGGGTATGCCTGACTTCGCACCCCGACCCAGTACCAGTAGGATTCCAATTATGGAGATACCCAGGAATACCTCCAATATCCTCCCGTAATATTCCATGAACATTTTGGTATGGGGATATCATGGGTATGAACGGCTTACATCCAAGCTTGAGTTTGATCGTGACCTCACATCGTTTTCCGTCACTGGAATGATGAGAATTGGAATCGGGGAATCATCTCCCAAATGCCCGTATGATGTTTCAGCTATTTTCAGGATTTTTCAGGTTAGTGCCTTTTGATAGTTCAGCCAGAAGATTGGGAAATAGGTATTCCAATGATATTCCAGTAATATCCGGTAACGACAGTAATGACCATTTTAGGGCAAAAGATTTTCTTTCTCAAGAAATGGGTGTAATTAATGGAGGGGCAATCGGGGTGTAAAACCAACGATCGTATGGAAATATAGTGCGACATAAACCAACAAAACGGTTTGGGTATAACGTCCAGTGTGGCCATGCGTAAAACCAAATTTGGCCAAAAAAAAAAAAGAGTGTTTTCAGCCACCAAAAATCACGGGTCTGTCTTGCCCAACAAAGACTGCAAAATTGCAATAAGTTTGTTTTCAACGCGCAAAAAGAACAGAGAACGAAACTTGGGATAAAAAACCCGCACCAAAAATGGGCCAACAATTTTTTTTTTGGGGATTCATCCACAAGAAGAATTGTGGTTTTCACCTTACGCATCCGGTTTTTAACCATCACAAGACCCTTTCCTGATCTTGTTTCACCAGGGCATCCAGCAGCACAGGTTGAAGTTCCTACAGAAAATCGACAGCATGGAACATGCCACCTCAGTGCCTCGTGGGAGGATGTGTTTTTTTTTTCATAAATGGGGGATCCCCAATCCCCAAAATGGATGGTTTGTAATTGGAAATCCCATCAATGTCCTTGAGTTTTTGATGAAAATCGGATGGAATTCATGGAGGTTTTCACCATGGGTTTTCATGAGGCCTTTCCGATGTCACGGAACCGGGAAGTCATGAGACTCATGGGATCGAGTTTAGCGATGGAGTTTGTGGATCAAAGTTCTCCCCGGATCGTCAATTGGTGGGGAATCAGCCATCAGAATGGGATGTTTTTTCGACGTTTAGTGATGAATCACCATGATAACTATTAGTCATATGAATGGGATGACTAATAATGGGATGGGATAACATAATATATATATATATGTATATATTATCATATATTTTAGTGATGACATCATAACATAATGATGGAATGGGATGGGATGACTAGATGACTAATGGGATGACATCCCATCCCCCATCAGAACACCCATCAGAACACCATCCCCAGGGACGAGGGAAAACGATGAAAACGATGTCGCCAGTTTTTTCCTGGTCCAATGATTAATGGGATGGTTGATTTATGATTGGTTTTTACCATGGTTTTACCATGGTTTTACCATGGTTTTACCATGGTTTTACCATGGTTTCTAGCTTTCATTTCTCCAAAATCCATGGGAAATCACCATATTTTCCGAGGTTAGTACTGATCTACAGGAAACACAACTTACCACGTGTCAAACCGAGGTGTCAGTATGTGATTAGTTTCAAAAATGGTGTGATGCAAAAAAACACACTAGTAATGATCTATGGATCTACATGTTATATTAGTTATATGAGTTTACCACATCAGTAATGAGCCATTTGGATCCATTTAAGGGACATTTACCACATCAGTAGACCTCGTTTTTTCAGTGATCCAATAGATACGCCCAGGTGATCAACGAGGTCTACTTTTTGTGCGGCTCCTCAGAGCGAGTTGTGGTTTCAATGGGGGTACCCAAAATGAATGCTTTGTAATGGAAAATACTCTTGAAATGGATGATTTAGGGCTACCCCCATTTCAGGAAACCTCCATATGATAGGTATATGATAGGTATATGATAGGTATATGATAGGTATATGATAAATATATGATAAATATATGATAAATATATGATAAATATATGATAAATATATGATAAATATATGATACGTAAATATATGATACGTAAATATATGATAAATATATGATAAATATATGATAAATATATGATAAATATATGATAAATATATGATAAATATATGATAAATATATGATAAATATATGATAAATATATGATAAATATATGATAAATATATGATAAATATATGTTCTATTCAATTATCGAAAATCCCATGAATTCCACTCCGATTGTTTTGGAAGCCTTGTTCTCCGGCCTCAGTGAGGTCTTTATGCGGCTCACATCCGAACATTACAAGTCTCTTAGGCCAGGCAAGAATTCAGCAGCTCGGGACCCATCAACGTAGGTCTTATAGCAACTCGAGATCTGCAGCTTGAGGTTTTCAAATATGATTTAATTTAATACATATATATATATATAATTTGTTCATCCATTTTGGCCAAGACTCACACGGCACTGATGAACAAATCACCTCCCGACTCAGTCTGGACAGGTACCTTCCTGTGCCCACAACGTTACAAGACTGGGCCGCAGGGGAAGCGTGAAAAGCATATGAAAACTTTCATGCTGAATGTCGTCTGGTGGTGTGTTTTTTGGTATCAATGCCATGTTGCCACGTTGCCATGTTATTCCAGTGTGCCATGGAACGTGGCCCGCAGGACGGCCTGGATCATTGCCATGGAACGCTACTTGCAGGGACGGCTCTCAGATTATGTGGACATGCCCCTCGGTGTTCAACGGATCCCAAAATATCTCAGCGATGGTGAAATTTGATACGGTCACTGAAGTACCTGAAGCATGTCCTCCCAAGAGGTAGAGCTTTTTGAAGCCCAAGACTATTGGGAGAAAAAACAACAATCACCAAAATCAGATCATTTGGTGACTAAGGCATGGTCCTTTTCTGCTGTCCGGGGGGGATATCATGGCCATTTGCATCTTGTCCGCGCTGGCTTTTCTTCATAGTAAAAACATCATCCACAGGCGCGAATCTTGTCCGCCGGGGCCGCCCGGGCAGCCCAAATCCAATGGTTCATCATACGCCTTGGTGCATACCATAGATCAAGCCATAGATCCATAGCCGCCATAGCCATCCTGTTCGAATTGCTATTTGATGATGGTATACCTGGTATATATTCATGTGACCCACATGATATCCATATGTGTCTGAACATGGAGGATGGAAATGGCTTATTTTTGACGGGAGAACTCATGGCGGAAATGGGGCCTACATTGACTACATCATCCAGTTGGGATGGGGATGGGATGTGTCCCGATTTTGAGACATCACCGTGAAGGGCACACCATTGATGTCCCTTTCATCGCCCAGATTTCGGAGATTTCGGCTGCCAGGGATCTGCGGCCGGAGAAAGTTCTACTCTCCGATCGGATGACCCCAATCGTAGCAGACCTAGGCGCCGGGATCATCCCATGGTGAAAACATGTTTCCCCCATTTTCAAAATGACAAATGGTGAGATCATTGGGAAAAAACTCGCCAAACTTGACATGGAGGTTGTAGCATGTTGTAGCATGTTGTAGCCATATGTTGAGATCTGGAGCCTTTGTAGATTACTATACTCTCAATGGAGGTCATTGTCCGGGCATGTTGAGACATGCGACGGAGCATCCATAGTGCCATAGTGGTAGCTGCGGTCCCGGTTCACTCACATCTGACCTGCCATGCGGCTCCAGCGATGTGAAAAATCGTGTTTTGGAGATCCAGATAGAACAGATGAAAACAGGCACGTCTTCAGTTCCAAAAGCTTTTCGGGGGATGCCCCAAGCCAAGCTATAGCAGCTATCCAAGCCGAGCCAAGCTTCCCAGCAAAACCCCACCCCACCTGAACCGAAGATTCCACGTTTTTTTCCACAGTCTCACCGCTGCGCCGGTGATGGTGATGTACGAAATGCAGCTGGCAGAACATTGGAAGGAGACCTCACTGTGAAAATTGTCCACAGATGTGCAATTTGAGGTTTCTTCAGATTTTAGCACTGATTTTTTGTCTTTTCTTGATCTAAACATCATTCTCCAGTAATTTCTGGTTGAGATTTCACCATGTTTCAACGCGAAATCATCGAAAATCATCGAGCTTTGGATCCAGGAGCCTTTACAGACGCCGCAGAATCGCTGGCAGGGTCTGAGGGTCTCCTTGCCCCTTGGCCAAAGTGATGTAATTTTCCCATCTATTGGTATAAACCAATGTAAACCTCTATAAATACGGTATAAACCAATAAAAGGCGGATATTATGGCTACACAATATATGGTATAAATATATATATATATCTCTTTATACAGTATTTATACAGTATATATACAGTATTTATACAGTATATATATAGACCATATCACATATAACCAATATATAATATGGGTATATGTGATATGTTTGAAACAGATGGGCTTCACAAACGTTCCCCGCCCGAAATCCAAGCTGTCAATGGTGGCACAAAGATCAAAAAAAAGGTGACCGAAGAAAAAAAACGATTACAGGTAGAGATGCACAAAATACATGGATGGATAGAGATGACTGGATACATATACATCTACATATAGAAATACATATCCATATATATATATATAGATATACACATACAGTATACATATATCTACATACATAATATACATAGACCACCCCTTCAAACCCAGCGGTTGATTTTTTCGAGGCTGGCACTGGTTCAAGTCGGCGCGCTGGTGGCTTTGCAGCCCGCAGTGCACCTTGGTCACCCGGGTCCATGGTGTGTGAGCTTGGCCCAGCGGTTTATCATGTCATATTTCAATATAAGATAATCCCACTGGTTGATTAGCCCTATATATATATAGATACTGGTTGTTTATCCCAATGGTTGATTTATTTTAATATGATTATATCATTCATTTTAATGGGATTTATCTGGACTAATGGTGGATATTATGGATATTGTTATGGATTTATATGGCTGAATTGTAATGGTGGATATGGACTAGTTATAAAAATTAATCCCATCTATTGATCGTTTTACGTGTCAAACTAGTGGTTGAAGTCCCCCAAAATAGTGATTGAATGGAGTTTAATGGTGATTTATAAGGATTTAAGGGAATTTAATCTGGATGAAAAAAATTGACCTCAATGTGACGTCACTGAAATGATGGTTAGTAAGGGGAATCAGCTTCGACTGGCCTTTTCAATCTTACTCAGATATTATTTTGGTTAGTGAATCCTTGTGATGATTAATATAATTGAGCCAGATCTATGATATCAGGCTTGGATTAGTAGACCCTGGTTGTTGGTTCCCGTGGTTCCCAAATAGTGATCATTTCATGGGGTGGCAAACTGGCCATTCGAAAACCAAAAAAGACATTGTTCAATGATTTCAATGCCGCCCAGGGAGGTTGAGTTCATCATCATGGCGTTGATTTTAGCTGCCTTGGCCGGGTACACAGGACGACTAACGTAGACCACGTTGACCGCACGACTGCCTTGCTACAGCTGTGTCCACTGAGCGAGTAATTCTATGAGAATTCTATGGTCAAAATCGCATTTTTGATCGCTTCAGAATCTCCCAGTTCCATCTCCCAGTTCCATTCACTTCCATCCACTTCCATCCACTTCCATCCACTTCCGGCCCCTTCGAACTCCAGGAATGACCCTTTTTCAAGCGTTCTCGAAGAGAATTAGCGGGTCAATGCAGCTGATAAATTTGCTGATCGTCTTTTCGAGTTGGTTGCTGCCACTTGGATCCAAGTCAAACTCCAATCCAAGGCAACCGACACATCCATTCTTGGGTAGCCAAGATAGATAGATATATAATAATAAATATATATATATAGATATAATGATAGATATATAAGGCATTTGTTTTCACATTGATTGGTAACTCATCATCAAGACGTTGCTGACTTGACCAAGATGACCAAGATGCAAGTTGCTACTCAAACTACTCAAACTACTCATGATACCCTCTGGTAAACTAACATAACTATGGAAAATCACCATTTTTAATGGGAAAATCCACTATAACTGGCCATTTTCAATAGCTATGTTAAATTACCAGAGGGTATCTCATGTAACTCATGTAGCTACGCTGTTTTTTTACCATTGGACCATCCCCATGTGTTGGACCACTGGACCACGCCATCCCGATGACTTTTTCGGAGGTCGCTGTTTTTGACGCTGCACGAAGTGCCCTGCCGCAGCGCCTTTTGGATTGAGCTCGGTGAGCTCGGTGAATGCCAGGTGACCCCGACATTTCGGGAAAATCCCCCAGTTTCGGGAAAATCCACCATGGAAAATCCATGGAAAATCCATTGTGGAGTCGAAATTCGATGAAATTCGGCACACTTTTTGCCATCCTTTGGAGCTGTTGTGCCGGGAGGATGTTGAAGCCGTGCTCTGGATCGCCTTAGTCACTTGGCGTTAGATGACTGGCAGGTACCGAAGAGCAGTGGAATCGCAAAATGAATCGCAAAATGATCAGATGTAGCAGCTGTAGCCTCAAAATATCTTGAACAGATCCAAGCATCCAAGTTGGACGGGAAATTCTGGTGTTTAATGATGAAATCCTGGGAAGTCCAACGGTCATCGAGCATCGGCATTGAGGGCTGCCGAGATGAATCGACCTTTCCCAAAAATGTGTTCTTTGGAAACCACATTTGAAAAAACATGGCTGTCTTACGATTTCTCGGAGTTTCCCCCCATGTTTCAACCACCAACTTTCCCACGAAAATATGGGGAAAATAACATTGCTTTCTTGAAGTTTCAACATGTTTCAACCACCAAATTTCTGGAAAAACACATTGGTCTCTGTCAGTATCTGCATTTACACCCAAACACCCTGTTTTTTTTTTATAGCATGTTACAAAAAAGCTTGTGTGTTACTATAGTGAAAAGGTAGCTTGACCGCTTTTTTTTCCGGTTCTTTTCTTAACTTACGTTGCACAACGTTGTGGTTATGCTGATTTCCCCATGGATTTCCCCAGATTTCGACATTTCTCGGAAGGTCCTGGGAGGTGCCTCCTGGACGTTGGGCACCATGGAACCGCTGCACTTCATGGCCTTCGGTCAGCTCTTGGCCCTGCAGCAGACGCTGCTGAGTGCCCTACCAGGCACGGCGAATGTTATGCGTTTTTCGGAGACGGATGGAAGTGATGTGAAAACACAGAGAAATGTTAACAGATGTTAATGTATATATAATGTATATTAACCCCCAATAGAAAACATGGTGATTGAACATCTATTAACATATGCTGATGGATGTCTATGGATGTTAGTGGATGTAAATGGATATGTTGATGGATGTTGATGGATATCAATAGATGGTGATAAACCCAATATATGTCAATAGCGCGTTTTTACTATGCTAGTAGATGTCAATATGGACGGTGATATATGTTGATAGATGTTAGTGGATCTTAATGGATATTCATAGATTTACAATCGTGATAGTAACAATACCAATATGATGATGTGAATATGTGTTAATAGATGGTGATATAAGAGATGTTGATGGATGCCGATTGATGTTAATTGATGTCAATGGAGGTTAATAGATGTCAATAGCGATAGTAGCAATACCAATTTGATGATAATAAATAATAAGGTACACTATGACAACAATCAATAATGTAAGTTGTCGAGTTGTCGGATGGAGAGTCTACGCATTTCAATCCAAATAATATAACAGTATTCAGAGATGTATTCAGTATTCATAATGATTATGACGACACGGTTTTATTTTTTTGTTAAGACTAGTCACATGTTTTAATGTGGAATTCATGTCTCTCCAATTTTCATGTATATTTCAGGTGGAATTCAATGGAACCAAGATGAACCAAGCATCAAAAAATGGGGTTTTGTGTCTAAAAAAAACACAAAACTAAAAACCTGCATTTCAATAGAAACACATGAAAAAAACAAATCATCTGTGATGTTTAGACATGGTATTGTGATTATGGTGGGAAATGAGATCCTTTCTATACATCCCAAACATATCATCTATCATCTTGTGGTGATGTTTAGACATGATATGTTTTTTTGTGATTTCGGGGAACTCACATCCCTTCTTTGCATCCCTTAAATCATCTCTTAAATCATCTTGTGGGATGTGAAACATCATGAATATCTTGTGGCAATATGGTAACCATACATTGGTTACATTGAAACATATCGGGATTTTTGTGGGTTAAACAGATATAAATATCAAATGAACCATAAAACTGGGTTTGATAATTTTAAATCCTAGGGCAGAGAGGCTGAATTGAGAGCAAAATGTGGGTTCTTAGAACGAAGAAATGGATATGGATTGAAACTATCAATTGACTCAGACGTGAAGCCAGCACGAATTGCTAAACAACCAGATTAGGTTGAGGGGGCATGTTGCAGGAACGTATGTCTTTTTACGGTTCAGCAAAAAAAATCCCCATGAATTCATAGATGACACCCCATGAATCTTCCCCGTGCCCACGCACTGCGCGCACTGCTGATCTGTTAGGAGATGGCTGTAGACCTTCCCAAAGAGGCGCTTCTGTGTGGATGGAGCATTGGGAAAATCACCTGGTTTTTCCTTTTTGTTTTTTTCCCTGTTTTCCCCACATGAAATGAAGGGAAACTTCTACTGAAACATGTTTCGGTGAAAGTATTGTCATCCGACTTGGATAATCCCTGTTGTTGATGGCTAAAGTCACCCACTTATTTTTTCAGAGCCATGGCCCGTTCCATTTCTGTCGATAGATGGATCCACGGGACTCGGGATACCCTTGGGTATGTAGCCACGTTAACAGTTTGCGAACTGGAAAATCTCCATCTTTAATAGGTCGGTAAAGCAACTATTTGACTATTTCTATGGACCATGGCTTCAATAGCAAACTGTAACAAATTCCCAGAGGGTATCGAATTTACTATGGTTATATTACCAATAGAATGGATATTTGGATATATTACCAATTTCTACACACAATTTACGATGGTTATATTACAGGAGATGGGACATACCCAACAGATTTCTGGGTTTTTGGGTGTTACTTGCAATGATCCCATGGGTTTGTCTGGGAACCATCCGAAAGGTCTGCGCTGGAACCTGCCGGCGGCGTGGCTGCCGTCCTTGCAGTTACACCTCTTAGCAGCGCTGCTGGGAGTTCTGCAATGGAGGAGGGATGTCTGCGCAGCATTGGTGAAATCTGCTGAATGATCGTTTCGTTTTGAAAATTGTGAATAGACTATACCATTCTATACCTTCTATTTTATTCAGTTTTGCAATGTATCCGCTGCAGAAATCATGAGCACCATGAGCAGTTGGGATTGTGCATGATTTTGGGCGAAATCACAGCGCAATCATGACCTTTCCATACCCACTATGGTGACATCATCAGTATCAGTGAGGAAAAAAAATCACCCATGATGGGCTGGAATTGGGCCCAATGATACCCATGGAACTGAAGCTTCACTGGAATTCAATCTCTTAGGATTAGGGACCTAGGGATATACTTATTTGTGTGCTTGTATTATTTGTATTGGCCAAACAAAAAAGAACAGTGGCCATGTTAAACCTGTCTGAATCTCCCATGGCCATCATGGTTATCATGGTTATCATGGCCATCATGGCCATCATGGCCATCATGGCCATCATGGCCATCATATCGCCAGGCAGCACGAGCAGCTGCTTCTGGACACGGCCATCGCAAAGCTCTTGGACCCGGAGCGCTCTCCACCCGGCCCTGGCGGTCCTGGTGGCGGTAGCGGTCCCTTCCACACGCCCGTGGAGGAGGTGGCCCTGCGTAGCCCTGCGGTGCTGAAGTGTGATGTTTGTTGATTTTGTTGGTCAAAGTGTTTGTTGGTTCCAT